CAAACGCACCCCTGCTGCCAGTTAAAATGTATCACATCTAAGACTACTCTAGTTGCTTTAACACCTGCAGCAGAAAGTGTTGGGAGTAAAAATGCAGTAATAAGATACTTAACTAGCATTATGCTCTTTCATAACATGAAAAATTAGCTGACTGAGCTCACTACCTAATTGCAGAGCTTGTCATGATCTTGGCTGATTTCAATCTTCACTCTTTTTATAAATGGCTAATTTGGCACCCCTGTACTCCAATATTGAAACATTTAAAAAGCAAGAACATATAAGCTTCCCTGAACTGCTCAAACTCATCTAAGTACTGCAGAATAAGGATGGTTGCCTCAGCCCTAACATACATGTGCAAGATTCAAATGCCAGTGTCCACATTAAATACAAGTGCCCAAATATCTTTGAGAGCTATTAATGTTTGACTGCATTAACCCTCCTTTAATGCTGAAGAACTTGCAGAGGCAAACTTTGACATAGTCCCTTGTGATAAGGGACTGTATGAAACACATTTTTGCTGGAGTAGTTTGTCAAAACCTTTTACTTCCCACATCCCCCAGGACAAGGCTTTCAGTTATTTCAATAAACAAGAGATTCTCTTTGAACATATATGGATGCCTATATGTACCTTATGGCTCATGAACTGCAAACAAATATTTTGGGGGTTTTCTCAGTTGACTCCTTCATACAATGTATTGAGCCCCAAATACAAATCAAACAAAAACAGTAGTTTTGCCCCATGAGTCATTCATGATTATTTCAGCAAGTGACAAGCTTTCATTGAATCGCAGGGGAAAGAAATCTATCTGTGGAAACACAATCTCACCCCATATGAGCCCAACAGAAAAGAGCGAGCACTGGGTAACAGAGAATGGTATTCAAAACTCAGCTGTGACAAATCCCAGTTTCTGCTATTCCAGAGAGACCAAAGAATTGATCTTTCACCCAACAGCAGAATGATAGCTTTTGTCTCAAATGTTTTTCTATATCCTTAACAAAACTGTTTTTCATTTCTTCAGAATAATATTTTCAGCCTTCAAAACTGTATGAGAAACCATGACTTTCATGTTATGTAGAGTTGAGCAAATGCTGCCATTCCATGGTTACATCAGGGTTGCTCAGGATAACATGCAAGTGGTAATGAAAGCGTGTATGGTGACATACCACATGAGCAGCACAACTGCTGATGGAGTGCATCCTAATCAAGCAAGTGGAAACTAGAGATGTTACTGGAAGCAGAATGGGCGCATCCATGAAACAAAATACCAAAAAGATCCTGAAAATATTTTGATTAATATGTCATGTAGCAATAATTTCCAGTGGTTATCTAAGATTCAAGTAGAGATTTTAATTAGACTTTATGATAAAGGTAACCAGGTCTCTATTACGTGATCTAACCTTGTCATCTCAAAAGGATGTGATTTTGTGTGTGATTTTGTCCTTTAGAAACATAGAAACAGAGCGCGTCAGAAGGAGTCTCCTGGGCCATCTAGTCTGACCCCCCAGCTCTAGCCGGCTCCACTCACGACATGCCCACCATGTGTATGTCCAGCCTAACTTTGAACACCCGCACCGATGGGGCCTCAGCCACCTCCTGTGGAAGCCCATTCCACACCCTCGGGGTCCTGTCAGTCTTCCTGGCATCTACAGGGAACCTTGGCTCCCTGAACTTTGCTCCATTGGAGCATGTCCTGCCTTCCTCTGCAGGGGAGAACAGCTCTCTACCCACCTCCATGTGACATCCCCTCACATACCTGTATGTTGCCAACAGATCCCCTTGGAGTCTCCTCTTCTTCAGGCTGAAGAGACCTAGTTCCCTCAGTCTTGCCTCATACGGCATCCCCTGCAAACCGGCCACCAACCTTGTGGCCCTACGCTGCACTGACTCTAACCTGGCTACATCCTTCCTGTAATGACAGGCCCAAAAGTGAGCACAATACTCCAGCTGCAGGCACACCAGAGTCGTATAGAGTGGTAGTAATACCTCTCTCGATTTAGAAGCCACACTTCTGGCTATGCAACCAAGGGTGGCGTTCACCCTTTTAACCACTCCATCACACTGCTCACTCATGTTTAGCCTGCAGTCAACCAGCACCCCGAGATCCCTTTCACAAGTGCTGCTCTCCAGCCACTTGTCCCCTAATCTGTAGTTATGACACCTATTCCTATGCCCCAAGTGCAAGACCTTGCACTTATCCACATTGAACGCCATCCTGTTGTCTCCTGCCCACTTCCATAGTCTGTCCAGATCTTTTTGGATCTGGAGTACCTGCTCCTCAGTTGTGGCCACTGCCCCAGTTTTAGTATCGTCTGCGAATTTGATCAGCACACTGCAGACATCTTCCATGTCACTGATGAAAAGATCAAACAGGATTGGCCCCAGGACAGAGCCCTGGGGGACCCCGCTTGTCACTGGTCGCCATCCTGATGATTCTCCACTAATGGTTACCCTCTGCCCTAATCCATCGGACAGTGCTTTGGTCTATCCCACAACTCCTCAGTTTTTCAACTTTAATGCAAGTCTCCATAATATCTGGAACCATTAAGATAATGCTGGGGTTTTCTATATTTTGGCAATTTCTGTTCCACCTACTAAACAGTACAGATCACAAAGTCCTTGTAAATATCACTGTTATTATCTTTATAGTCTCCCAACAGGGTTCAGTAATAAGTTCAAAAAGAAATGAACCTGTTTCAGGAAAAAAATCCTGTATTTCAGGAGTGGACGTTTAACCAAAACATCTGGAGGGTCACACTCCCATCAGCTCTCATTAACACAAACAACAGTGAAGGATGGGGGAAGCTATAGGCCAATTGCCTCCTGATATATGTACAGGGTACCAATCTAACTACATAGAAACCAGCATGTAGAAGCAATTCTTTAAATTTATAAATTCTATGTATTTTAACGGCGTCATATGCCATCAATGTACTAGCTTCACAGCAAAACTTTTCACCAGCTGAATCATTTTGAATGATCACTTACTCTATAAACACCTCTGCAAATCATGTTCCTGTGATAATGAGGTACCTAAGATTACCTTCAGAGAGAAATACACTGTTTTATGCCACTTTTGGGAGTGCATGGGAATGCTTTAAAGTTCTCTGAGTGATTTGTTACCTGTTTATATAGTTGTACATAATGTGGAATTATTGCAGCAATGCTCACATCAGGTTAACATCTTCATTGCTTACCAGAATCAAGTTTCCCTAAGATGACAAACTAAAATCAATGGATGGAAATTGCAGAGAAGCAAGTTTAAGCTAAACATCCAGATAAACTTTTGAATGGTGAGAATTGGTGTGTTCTTCTTTGCTGCTGATGCTTAAGCAAACCCTGTGCTGCCATCTGCCAGGGATACTACAGTTGTATCCTGTATTGCAGGGCATACATTGAACAGAGAATTTGACTAGGTCAATCTTCCCAACCTGGAACTCTCCAGACACTTCCTGCGACAGCTCTTGAGAATTCCCGCTATTGGCCATACTGGCTGAGAGACATGCGAATCAAAGTCTCAGCCTAGAGGAGGGTACCAGGTTGAGGAAGGAAACAGTTCCTTCCAGCTTTGATTTTAATGTCGAAAAATTGCATGGATCCATGGAAGATTAACCATGTGTGGTTTTAATCCCAGGCTAACCAAAAAGGTACTCTCAGTGTTAGCATTTTTCATTGCTATTCTATGGATGCGCATTGCAACCATGAATTGTCACTTGAAAACTTCAAAAGGTACTATGTGCAATGCAGCCTATGCAGGAGTGCCTTATTATCATCCTGTGTGTGAATGATCCCTTAGAACAAATAAAAGTTTTAAAATAATGTTTTTATTGATTCATTGTATTACATTTTGATAATGCCCAAAGTTCTCTGGGTGGTTCACAGCTAGTGCTTGTGGGGACATGCTCTGAGGGGTAGCAAGGGGAGGAATGGGGCTCTGCCAGTATAGGAAGTAGCCTGGTGGAGCCTCGGCCCCTCCTCCTTACAAGCCAATGAACAAGGCACAGGAGGCTGAAATCAGCTATGTTTTATGCAGCACGCAGGAAGTGAAGAGGCAATATGCACTTGCTTCCACACTGTATCAGATGCCTGTAATACTCTTGAGTTTGGAGAGTTGCACTTCGCCACCTTTGATGGTGCCTTAACAGATTTATAACAAAAACTGGAAAATTAAAATGTCTGAGAAAACAAGAAAATGGCGTCGGAAGGAATGTAACTTCAGTGCCAGGTAAGCCTCTCTGCAACGCCTATTCCACAACTGGGGTGCTACCCTCTTCACTTCTTTTGGTGATGCCTCAGCAGGGTGTTAAACAATGCACAGGTATTTTGCGTATAATACAAGTTTACAGTATTTTTATTTGCTGTTTATGACTAATGATAAATAAAATTAGTACATATTTGTCAGCTATCCCAGAAAGAGTTAATAGAATATATCCCAACAAAGCCAAATACTATTATTTTGCTAAAAACTCAAATAACTGAAGTGAATGCCTTCCCTTCAGCCCTCGGGTATCTAAGAGATGTCTTAAACGTATTTTATCTATACATTTCTAGTGCTCAGAGTGCATTCCACCTGCCCCTTGAGTGGCACCACACATTACCCAATAGGAGTAAGGACTTTTTCAAAAAGCCAGTCTTCTCTCATAGCAACACTGCAGAGAATTAGCATACCATTGGCACTAACCCGCTGCATCAGTATCCTGGACCCAACAGTTTGGAAGAAACCTAAACTTGAAAGCAGCACTGATCACATGGGAAATAAGGAATGAAATGGGTGAAATGAAAATGGCACAGGGGAAGTACTGTTGTTGCCTTCTGTCAATGGCAGCACCTCCCACAGGGGTCCATTACACGAATGCAGCTAGTGGGAGAAGTTCACTGGTGAGGCTTGGAAGGACTGGTGCCACTCGGACTTGGTAGTAAATAAAAGTATGAAAAGATTTTGTTAATGTTGTGTTCTATAGCATAATTTTACCCTCAGCATTAAGATGTACAACACATGATATGGAGGTACTGATCTTTTATTATATTGTGCATGCATGACAAAAGTGCATTGAAACTTGGAACAAGTTTTTAATATTTAGACATTCCACAGTGGAAAAAAGACACTATGATTTTTTTTCAGGCAACAATGGAGCTTTCATCTTAGTAATGCCGACGGCATTTGACAAAAAGCATCAAGCTACAATTAGGCATATAATTCAATAGTGTGGCCTGTGTCTGGCAACGTCAGAATGTAGTCATGAGAATTTAAAAACAAGCAAACCACTCTTAACAAGCAAAATTAAAAATATTTTGCTATCCGTGACATCCCATTCCACAATTTTAAGAAAAGAGCAAATAAATAGAGTTTGTCTCTTTACTAGATTATGTCAGCAATAGTTCTACAGATTCTTCAAGTAGCTTGCCATCCAAAGACCTGGAAGCGGGAAAGATACACAGACCTAGCATACTAAATTAGATATGTTTCTTTCAAGCCTCATTCCATACACTAGACAAACCCAACTTTAGTGTACAGCTGCATGTGTAAACAAAACAAAAAACAGTGATTCAGTGTGCAATCAGGATGCTAGAAAGCCCCTGAACTCTCAGGATTATGGACATCCTATGTAGACTGGGAGGAGTGATGGAGGCAATTGTTGCCTCCCTGCTCCTTTCACTCTGCATTTTTGCTAGATGCTGTTTTGAGCTGACTAATTTGAGTGTTTCAGAGGGAGAAAGGAAGCTAAATGGTGTCAGGATGCTCTGTATCCTGGCTGTCCTGGTATCTCCTCTACAAAACTCCTGGAACACCCCCTTTAACCTCTTTCTGAAGACATATTCCTGATGTCAGAGAGCAGTCAGGTTGGTTCTTGCTGTGAGGGGGCAGGGACTGGTGCTCTGGACTGGTGCTCTGAGCCACAGCTGTTTCCAACCACACAGCTGAGACTCCAAACCATCCTATGGCTCTCTAGTTAAACTTGGAAGTACAACAGGTATGTAGCTGTATACGCGGCCTTTAAACTCCAAGGACCATCATCTTATGAAATAGTTTTCAGAAAAGCAGCTTATTATCAGAGTTATATATTACCCATGTATCTATCACTTCATTAACTTTTTAAAAATACCTTATTTAAGATATTGAATACCTTATAAGATATAAGATATTGAATACCTTATATTCAATATCCTTTACCATGAACCCAGAATGCCACATAGGAGTATTCATCTCAAAAATAGTTGCGACCTATTGACTTCTGCTATACATGAGACAACACTGTAATGCTCAAGCTATTCACTTTAGGATGTACTTATGATTTTCAATTATTTCTTGCTCACCTATGCTGCTATTCTACACTGTGCTAAGAGGGAGGGGGCTCTAACAACCTGCTCCTATAGGTTCCTTCCCAAATTTTCCCTGTAGGGTTCAGTTTACTCTGAACATTGCTTTGCATGAAAATTTAATATTCAGTCACTGTAACATCATATTGTAATAAACTCAAGTTAGAGGTCACAGTCCAGAGATCTGTGGGACTCAGATGATGCAATAAGCTCTATAAAAGTAGAGCGATCCCCGATCATTTTACTAATAAAGGAATTTTGGAACTGACACTTCTCCAGGCTGCAAAAGTAAAAGTTAAAACCCTTCCTTAGAGCCCCATGTGCTTACCTGAACCAAAACGTACAAGTCATAACTACTGAATCACAGTGGTTAACATATTTCTAAGAAAATAAAATCATGTTATAGCTTGTTAAGAATAGCTTGAAGAAGAAAAGCCATAACCAGCAAGACTTAGAGATGTTTTTCAGTTCATTTCCCAAAACATGGAGGACAAAAGTATTGCACTTAAAGAAACATATCTGAATTTGGCAAAAATAACACAAGCATGAAATTAAAGAGAGACCAGCATCCACTGAATCAGCAAGAACAAGATGGCGTAAAGTATGATGGCAAAGTTTTGCACACCATACCTAGTTTAAGTATTCTATATTACTGGTTGTGGAAAACAGGCAAATTATATATATTCTTATCTCTTCCAAAATCAGGTAAATTTATAAAGTAAATTTATTAGAGTTGCAGAGGAAGACTGACATCTCAGAGACCCAGAATTTTGCCACTGCCACCATTCCTTTGAATGCGTTACCCACAAACTTTGGCTAAAAATGCCCCCCCCCTCAATTTACAGGAGGGTTTAGGGGATTTAGTTTTTACTCAGTAGCTCAGAGCAAATTTGGCAAGTGCTCATTTCAGCAAAAAGCATACCTTTCCTAGGTCTGCTTTGAAGATTTACAAGTGTGTTAGTCATTTAACAGTGCGACATGCATGATGGTCCAATTTAATTAGCAACAGAACAGCTTCGCTTGGCACTTGGATAGAAAGAAATGTGATTCATGATGGCCTAGCCAAAAACAGCATTCGGTAGCATCAGTTCCCGCTCGACCTCTTTTAAGAACTCAGTTATTTCATACATACCTTGATTTAGGTTATTGGTGCGTTTTGAAGGGTACATGAACAAGAAAACATATGGATGACACTGTTTATATAACCAAACAAACCAGAAATCTTAAAGCCACATTTGCCATCTGTTTGGCAGCCACAGTCTCCCAGCAGGAAAGGGATGAATGCATCGTATCACCCAACACCACACACAAGTTACAAACCCAGTGTGCTCTTAGCAACCCATTAGTATCATCCTCTTTGTGTTTCTCAACATCCCATTAAGCTAGCAGTTAAACTACTCACAAAAGTATTTACTTTCATGATAAACAAAATGGAGGTTTTGATGCATGCCTAAGTTAAAGTGACCAGACCCTTGATAATGCTGCCTCCTCTTTTCTCTACAGGCTGTAGTGTTAAATGTCACATTCAGTTGTCCTGGACAGCAGCACATCTGAAGAGTACGATAACATTCCCTTTATGGACATCTTTGAAAAGCATTGTGGAGCTATACCATCCCACCTCAAAAATGTCTTTAAAATGCCATTAGGACATCGTGTTCCTGCACGCTTGTGTAGAAAGGTCGGCCAAACAGAAATGAATGCAAACCAGGCTTGATCTTCTCTGCTAAAGCCATTACTATATTAAGATCGCCCTCTGCTGTTAAGTCCAGGTCTATCTTCAAGTTACGAAGAGATTTAAAAGGCTTTTTGCCTTTTTGCCTTGAGTAGGGGGAAAAGACAAATGTTTAAATATATTTAAAATGGCACCAAGATCTATAACCCACTACTCCTTTTAGCTTCATACTTACGTGTCATCTTCTATGTATTTGATGAGAGTTAAGGCTTTTCTGTGAAGGACTAAGAGGAACTGTGCAAGAAGCACATTCCTGAGGGACAACCCAGGTTTCAAGTGAAAGACCTGTTGAAATTATCATCAAAAAACAAAACAAAACAGTGTCACAAGCCACAGAGCATCCCACTTACTGGACTTCTCCAAGTGCCCCTATTCCTCTGCATGGATTACTAAATAAATGACATTTATAAACCAGAAAGTACCCAATATGATGAAAGGTTGATAAGCAGAATGCAAGGCTGTATTACTACAGTAACCCTGGGACATGTAGCATATCTTTAAGTGCTCAGCACACACAGACTCATTGTACATCTGTGCAGAATTCTGTCAATACAGGTAGACCAGCCTTCACTGCAGCACGACCCTTAAGTGCAAATGCTTTACTTTTAGCTATAGGAGTGAACGGCAACTATTCACATACAGCAGCAAGCATAAAAGAATGCACACAGGGATATCACTACACTTAGGCTTAATCCTGCCTCCTAACCCTAATGATCCCAACCACTGAAAACTAAATCTGTGCTCATTTGCTTAACTCTAATCACTAATCATTTCTTTGATAAATTAAAACAGTATGTTGGAACCTGGCTTATACAAAGATCTCCACACACACACACACACACACACAGAGGTTACTATGATATATGAACAAGAGATGAGGCACTTCTAGCTCACAGTGCAAATTTGACCTATTAGAGCAACCCAACTAGCCTGCAAGGCCTTGAGACAAAGAACCTCCCCAGTGAGTACAGACACAGGAAGATAAAAGCAGGCTTGGGACTCAGCCAGATCCTGGAAGAGTGGCTCCTCCCAATGTCTTCCGCATCTCTTTGAATGCTGTTAGCTGCCCCAGTGAGGACAATGAGCACGGGACAAAGCTGGTGCAAAAATCCGATGGTGCCAGGAGGAGTTGCTCTTCCAAGTGCCAGCCAAATCCCTTTCTCCATCTCTGCACAAAGAAAGGTTAAAATGGACATCACAGAATGGGCAGGGGAAGCACCTGACCTCCTGACATCACTGGTCTGCCAGATTGGTCCCAGCAGCAATCCAGTTCTCTATGAAAAAATACTGAGTGAGATTTGAGCTGCAGCTTCTTATTTGACTTTGGAAGTGCCACTGCTGATAGTGGTAGTCAACAATTTAGCCTGTTATCTTAGCCTGTTAACTATGAGACAGATTTCCTATTCCTAATCCCTTAGTCTCCCCTCATTTCCCTCATGACAGTACACTGTCATTTGACTGGATTTTAGGCTGTTGAAATGTTTTCTTATCCGTACATGATTAATCTCATTAAAACCAGAGCATGTCCTCTAAAATAACTCTTTTCTTAAATACTTCACAAAATGAATGAGTTGAATTTTAAAAAACAATGAATAAATATTAGTTACCTGATTCAAGAAGGCTTTTACTAGTGTGTCTTGGTGCAAGACATCTTGGAAAACATTCCTGTAAAAAACCAAAATACAACAGAGAGTTAAACTAGTGCTTGGTAACAACTGTGAGTATCTTGCAGCATTCAAAAACGAAACACTAATAGCACAATCATGTGGCCACCCTAGATGACCACAGGAAAAGTCACCAGTTCTAGCTTCAAAAGAGTGCCCTGAGATTGGAACAGGAACTGTAACCTATTCATACCTGGTATGGTTCTTTCTAAGCTGGCTGCAGTTCTAAAGTCAAAAAACCAGGTGTGGTGGGGAGGGGGGGAAATGAGGCACCATTGCCCAATGAGGGATCCTGGTGGTACCTTTGACTTCACCCCTTGTAAACCACTTTAAAACACTTAAGACAGGCCAAATCAGCTGTCCGAGTGTTCCAAGGGGCAGAAGGAGTACCAAAAGAAATCTTGCCTCTGTACTCCTTCTATCCTCCATTTGCTGCTTGTAATCCTGCAATCCAAAGCAGCCAAATTGGATGGCACTCAACGAAAATGTGTGATCCAAAATGAGGAGTAGGGCAAGGAAAAGAATCCTGCAAAACAGTAAAATTCCTTAATCAAGGCAAAAATGCTCTTTCAGAAGACAAAACTCAGTCATTCTTTACTTGATGACTGCAGCATTAAGCTAAAACCTGGTTGGAAGAACAAACTATCTTAAACCAAATACCAGCAAACTTTCATATCTCCTCCCATCTATTTCAGACAAGTGAGTTCCAGTATTCAGCTGAGAAAATATTCCAAACACAAAGAAGCTGGTCCCAAGTGTTGAATCGTGTCAGAAATTTAGTTGGTCACTTCTTGCTGCCAATAAACAAAAAATGTTCAAATCCACTATAAGCTGATCATTTTGATTCCCAGCTTCTTTCACCATTAGCTTCTCAAATGGCAGCTTAGAATAAGGCATGGAGAAAGAAGGAAAGTGATACCAATTCTTAAACCTTTCTTATGTCCCACCAGTCACTCTATCAAAGAACCTCTGTCCCACCATGACAGAAAATAAAAGCCCTCTTTTTCTCAGACAGGAATTCATATAAAGCCATTTAGTTATTATACTTATCACTTACAGTAAGTTTTAAACAGATAAAAATTACAGTAGCAATAATAGAGTAAATTTACTGCTAAAGCTTCAGAACGCTAACCAAAAAAAAAAAAAATCCATTAGTAGTTGAAAGATTAATGGTGAGCATAAATTTTCCTGGGGACTAAGGGAGAGCAATTTCTTAGCAATTGATATGAAAACCTTGTATCCTGCCTAGACTACTGCATTTCTGTGTTCTACCAGTTGAGCATATGTGAAACAATCCCAGGTCTCATAGAAAACAGGAATAAGTGCTCAGTCATGTTACAGTTCTTCAGGGTAAATAGAAGAATGCCCATTTAAAAGCTAGAATCTTAGCCAAACAAATAAAAAAACCTGGGTGCTCGCTGTCAATATTTGTGGGGTAATTCAGTATTGCAGTCTAGCAAACTGCTAATTTCAGGGCAGAGTATCTTAAGATAAAAAGATGGGCAAAACAGATGCAATGCTACATAGATAATGCATTTAAACCATGGCAGCATCAGATTGTAGATGCAATGTCAGAAAGCTGCTACGTTTACCAAGGTAAGGTTGGAACCATGGATTTTATACTTTCTGTAAACACTACAGGAATACATACAAGTCAGGAGTGAAGCTTTCATCTGTATGGATAATGGTGTCCTGAGCTATCTCTTCATCAGAAGTGGCCCGCCAAAATGCTGTTAGCTCAGATCTCATGTACCGTCGCTGATTGTAAATATGTTCATGACATGGAGGCATCTGTTTCACTGTATTGACATCTACATCTATGTGTGTGGTAGGATATGGAGCATACATCACTTGACGAAAAGGCAGCACAAAACTTCCAGTCACATCCTGCCACAGTGAAAACAATTAATTTCCTAGTTACTTAAAGGAAGTTACAGGTATTCGAAATTATGAGATACCATCAGGTAAGAATTTAAATAATTTTTTGGAATGATACTACTATGCAAATGTGACCATTTCATTATAAATAAGGCTGTCATTCCGAGTATGTGTTCTGTATAGTGAATATTCACGTTTTTTACAGATCCATCTGATGCAAATTTACTCAGAATTAAGTTCCATTTATGTTCAGTGGGACTTGATCGCTATAAAGACTGCAATACTTCTAAGTAAACAAGCATAGGATTGCACTGTTAAATATGGAAAAACTAGATTCAATGGGGTTTCCTATTTTCAAGATACTGAAAGAGCTGCATTCTGCTCCCACAACCTTCAATAGATGACTCTGGACCAGGGGTCTCAAACTCGTGGCCCGTGGGCCAATTGCCGGGAGGGGAGGGGCACGGGGGAGGGGCCCTGCGGCCTTCAAAGCACCGGCGGCACCCGGGCCAGACTCCGGATGAGCGGCCCACCACCACCGCAGAGGTGGAATACTTGATGCGGCCCAGCCTCACCCAGACTCTACTTCCAGCGGCCCCCAGGTAAGTTGAGTTTGAGACCCCTGCTCTGGACTAAAATGTTGTAACTCACACAGCATGATCAAGTTCACAAATGCCCTACAGAAAATGCAGAATGAAGTTTCACTAAAATTATTTAAACTTGTTTTCAAATTGGGAAATGTATGACTGGAGCTAGATAGCAAGTCACATATGGTGAGGCAAGCCATATTACAAAGATGAGAGCAGCACACTAAGAGGCCTGTTTCTTTCAATTTCCTGATTCTGCCTAATCTGGACAAAGTGCTAGGCAACTAGATTAGCATGGGCAGCTGTTCAACTACAAACATTACACAATTCCTTGTGACAAAGCCGCAAGAAGCGCTTCATAAATCTGTTAAGAGAACAAAAAAGAACTGAGTTTTATAGTACTCCATCATCCTTTCCCCCCCTCCATTCCATTTATTCTGCAATGACAGCTTCTACAGAAGGTGTGAATTTTATGTCATATTTATATCCTACTCTTCCTGACAAATAATTCTAAAATAATAAAAAATGTATCGTATGCAACTCTAACTTTCCAAACACATCTCATTCAAATGTTCCTGCTATGAGGGGGAAAGAACAGGTGTTATTTTACCCTTCTTCCTCATAGCTGGAGAACAAATAGTAAGATACAGTACCCCCCAAATGCAGCACAAACAAGCTTCACTTAGGAAATGTTGCTTTAGATAAGCACTACAACTATGCTTCATCTGTCATGCAACTCCCAGCAACTTTGTCACCTTGGAAAAAAGCCTGCTAAATGGGCTGTCCATTAACATGCTTAGGTAGAAACTTGAGTTTTAAAGAAAAAATATTAGGTGGAAAAGAGCAGTCAGAAAACTTTGTTGCACAGGATACAACACTGAGCTAGGAACATAGGTTTAGATATCATGATGCTAGTGAAAGAAACGTGATAAACACAAATGCATCTTATTTAGAAATGGACTCCACTTATTGGCAGCTGAGGACTGTACCTTGAGCAATCCTTGCACAAACAGACCTGATTCATACTTGAATGATGTTTCATTTCTACAGAGTCTAGAACACTTTCGCTCTGCAGAAGTGAGAAAGAGGCACAGGGTCCGTACTATCTGTAATACAAAAGCAATGTAATGCTATAGGCAGGGCAATTTACCAATACAAAAACCTTAATATATCAACAATAATATTGTATAATTAACTGGCCATCATTCCTTGTCTGATAGAGAGAACCAAGTATTTTTCCAGTTGTAGGAAAACCTCATCTCTGTAGCACTGGCATATTATATTGCTAGAAAACTGGCTTTTTTCTCCTCCAACAAGTGCATCCATTGCTGTTGAATTCCACAATACTAGTAGACCTACAGCCCACCATATTCCCATTGTGAGACAATGGGCAGTATCCAACAAGGTCATTGTACTAACCCAAATTGTACTGCTTTAGAGTGAGAGATCTCTAGTGTAAGTTACCTCCAGTGCTAACTTTCCAAGAAATCCTGTTGTGCCAGTGAAAGTTATTGATGTTGTGCCAACAGTCCCATATGCTATCCCTATGTAATCTGCATTAATGCAATGCCACTGTTAAATACTGCCCATTCTTTAAACTCTGCATTTCTACGTTTAAAGAGGTCAAGTGTTAATATTGCAACAGAAGCAAACATGCAGTTCCTGTTCACACATAAAGATGAATTACAGTAGGCTTGGGCACATGAGCCTCCTTGGTCCCCATCATCTTCATTTTAATTCAGAGGTTTGTATCCAGAACAGACTTACTGAAAAGAATGGGAATTAAGTTAGCTTAGTGCTGGATACAGCTCATTGAATACAACCCAGAGTTTGCAATCAACTTTTCCCATTTTGTCCAAAGATGAGAAACTGTGGTTTGTTTGGAATACGGTTTGTTGATTAACTGTACTTGAGTGAAACCCCACCCCCCTGCAGTTTGTTTAATTTGTTCTCGTAACTGCAAGATTGTTAACAGGGAATGGACAATATATTAGGCCAGTACTTGACCATCTGCGCTCGCTAACAGTGCAAAGTGAGACCCAATTCCAAGTGCTGGTATCAACAGTCAAAGCCCTGGATTACCAGGATTGTCTTTTCCCATATATACCTGCCCAGACTCTAAGATTCTCCTCAGTGGCCCTTCTAAGGGAATCCCTCCCAAGGAAAGTCAGGTGGGCGGCTGCTAAGAAGAGAGCCTTTTCCACTGGAGCATCCCAACTATGGAATTACGCAAGGAGGCCCACCTTGCACTCTTCTTGGTGTCAGCTGAAAATCTTATTTTCCAAGGAATTTATCCAACCCCTCCCCACCAAATTATTTTCAGACAGTTTAAAGTTCTGTGTTGTAAATGTAATCTTTGAACTGCTGACAGATTGTACTCTTTTTCTTGCTTTTATACTGTTGCCTTAACTATTTACAGTTTTATACTTTATTTTGTGTTTTACATTGTTCTCAGTTGTTGTGGATTGCCCAGAGCACTTTGCCTACTGGGTGGTATAAAAATGAAAATAAATACCTACAGGCCATAAGAAACTGCTAGCTCCATGTTTTCAGCTAATACATTGTTCACTCTGGTAACTGGTCATTTTCATAACCTACAAAAGACACTTACCTTATTTACTTTTTCTGGGCTGCTTCCAACAACAACTGAACAACCACATGTCTGCAGGTGTGAACTGATGGCTCTGCAAATCAATCCAATAGTATAAATATTTCAGAAGAGTTTTACATGTGGGAACTAGCACACTGTACATATATTAACAGCCCCTTTATCAATGACAAAACAAAATAAGTGAATTTATTTACCAGAAATACAAATGCATCCTGAAGCCATTGCCAGCTACTGCCAGATTCTGGTCCAACTGCTGCTGCCAAAATCATATGCGCCTTCATACAGCCTACCCTGACAACCCAGATCTTGAGTGGGAAAGGGATTCCTCTTATTCCAGGAATGGGGGATACTGTTAGGGTCTGGGCTGCTCTGGTGGCCAGAACCAAAACAACTACCACTGTATTTGCCAGATCAGTCCCAAGCCCTGCTGGAGTTCTCATTCTATGGATGAATGCCAGCTGGGAGTCCTGGGCAAAGAGCAATATAATAGCAAGCCTCTTCCTTCTACACCTGGCCTCAGCAGCACAGGTTCTCTTGCAGCTGCAGAGACCGTACCTTGCCTGATTACTCCTGGCTCTACCTCTTCCCTTGCTGTGTTACCTCAGCAACACAGGTTTGCCTGTATGCTGCTGTGCCTGCATCCTGCCTGATTTTCCTGCTCCTTGTTCCTGCCTTTGATTGCCTTGCTGTTGTGCCTGCCTCTTGTCTCATCTATAACTTGCCTTGTCTGTATATCCTGCCTTGCCATGTTGTCTCAGTAATGCAGGGCTTACCATGAGCTGTGGTTCCGCTCCTGCATCTTGCCTGACCCTAGATGCATCTGGTTCCTGTTGTCTTGTGTATCCTGCCATGCTATATATTCTGTCCTGCTATCTTGTCCAAGGTATCTGCACCTGTTTGTCTTCCTGGTTCTCAACCCTTGGCTTGTTCCTGACCATGTCCTTGTTCTGCCTTCGGCATTCTTCTGCTTCCTGACCGTGGCCTGTACCATGGCTCCGATCTGGACTTTCTATTAAACCCTGTGTTTGGACTCTGTTGTTCTTGTCTTGTCTCTGGTTGCCTGAGTCCCATTTGTGGACCCTGACAAGCAGGTTCATGGCTTTTGGGGTGCTCCTTGAGCCATCCTTGCCACTTGAGGCACAGGTAGCTGCTTACCGAAATTGCCTTCAGCTTCAGCTAGTGGCTCAGCTGTGCCTCTATCTGGAAAAGTATAGCCTGGTATCAATAATCAACTCTGGCAATTCCTACACTAGATTACTGCAATGCACTCCATTTGTGGCTGACCTTGAAGCCTGTTCAGAAGCTGCAGCTGGTATAAAATGTGACAGCTGGAACAAGGACCAGGCAGTTGAAACATATAACACCAATTCTGGTTTGTTTGCACTGACTGCCTATTATGTTTCTACACCCAATTCAAGCTGCTCACTTTAACCTATACAGCCCTACAATGGCTTGGGACCACAATCTCTGTGCTGTAGAATGCATCTCTGAACTGCAATCTACCAGGACACTATGATTAAGATCTGGGGCTTGTCTCTGATTGCACCTCCAAAGGCTGTTTGGTTTCTGATGAAAAGGTCCTTTTTAGTAGTCCCCCCTCCCCTCAATAGAACAATTCCCTACCGAAGCCTGCTTGATACCAACTATAATAATTTTTTTGCACCAAGTTAAGACAGTCCTCTACCTAAGGACATTTAATTAGTTCACTATTATACTGGGGCTTTGTTAGCTGTTTAGACAGATCTTATGATTTGATTTGTATAAGGTATTGTAATTTTATATATGTATTTTAAATTAGGTGTTACATTTTTGTATGCTAAATTTATCATGTTTTAATGCTATTTGTATTTTTGTTGTTGAAAAATGCACAGAGAACTTTGGCTATTAAACTACACAGAAAATAAAATAAAGCTACACTCTTTTCTAGTAGTAATATTGACTTGTCCAACCTTACATTTCCCTGCAATAAACCAAGATAGCACAGATAACATTAGTTAAGAACTTTTACTCTAGAAAGCAGATGTCTAGAGAGAGGTGGGGAAGTTGAAAAGCCAGTCCTTTTTAATTCAGTAATATAAATACACCTCAACTATTGCCTTAAGAACTTTTTTTTTCTTGTAAGCTAATGTGACTAGCTAACAATGCAGCACCTGTGGGCTGCAGGCTGAAGAATCTGCATAATTATCCTCAGCAGTGCAGCTTCGCATACTATATGAACCAAGTCAGGGATGAGTTGTTGCCATAGTTTACTTATTTAAAACATCTACATCTTGACCAATACCAAGGGTCTCAGGATGGCTAGTCAACAAACCACTTGGAATCCATATGCCGCTGTGGGTAGTAAAAGCTACCCTGTTCAGGTTTGCACAACACAACAAGCTGTACTGCTAAGAGTAATTATGCATATTCACTTGGTAACTGACCAGAATGCACAATATAGTTATTGAGCCATAACTGCCTGTAAAATGGGCCTCTGTTTCCAAGTCTCATTTATTTCTAAGTCCTAACATTTTACATGATAAGGGCAGCCACCAAGATATAGTCATCAATACAATCTTAAGCAAACAAGTTCATAAGATCATTCTAAATTTCACAACAGTCAATTTATTTTTCCTTTCAAAAGTCATTTTAAAATTCTTACATACAATCTCAAAAAAGTCTATCAATAAAGACGTTTTACCTATCACCTCAGTCCATTCTCAAACTTTTACTCCATAAAAGTTCCTCAAAAACCTAATAACGATAAAAATTGATCATACTTAAGGAGGAAGCCTTCATGACAGCTGTCTCCAATGTCATCATCGCTAAGCACCGTGTCCCTTATCTGGAATGTAAAGGATGCAAATGCATAGGAGGGGAGGATTAGTTTATGATGAGGACCACCACGTGAAAGCATGACAATTTATCTGAAGATATTTCATATAGCTATTACAGATTTTTAAAAGATTCAAGATCAGACTTTTTGTTACACTGTTACCTTCTAGGAGCCTATAAGGACACAACAAACTCCAACTTTAACTATAGTTCAAGCAAGTGGAAGAGCACTATTGGAATATATGCTCCATTTCCCTACTCTACTAGATATAACCCTGGTTCCTGCTGATCAGGTTTAACTACTAGGTAAATCAATTTATGTTTTACATTTATGAGTCACCTATCACTTCCTAAATGTTCTGGACTGAAGGGACCTGAACTCTAAAACACCTGGAGGGAAGTTTGGAGAAGGCTACTTTACCTTGTGAGCCTTGATTAACCTGGTTAATCTTAACTGTGGTTAAATGTAGAGCAGATATGAGCCTTCACTCTGGATAAAACAAGTAGGGAGACTTACAATCAGAGATAGAGCAGAGCATGTGATTCTACCACTCACTTCCTGATTAATGTCTGCAAGACTAAGTAAAAACAGGAACAGAAGATTCTGTGGATTTTTTAAAAATGTAACTGTAGCCATCCTTATAAGTTTCAAACTCACATCTGCATTTTGTTTTGCTAATACCTGGATAACCCAGTAGAAGATACGACAACATACTGAACATCTTACCTTTGGGGTCTCCTTGAATTAATAGTTTTCCTCTTGTAATAAATCATACTTCTGATAAATCTTTGCATTTTTGAAGTTACAGACAAATGGGGAGCCAATTTAGTAAAGTTTTAAAATTATTGCTAAGAATATTTTTATGAGATGTGTTGGCATTAACTCCGTACCGCCAAAAAGCTATAATCATATCAATTTATGATCTGTAATTTATTTTACCAAAGGCAGTTAAAAAACCCCCAGAAAAGAATGGAAGAGCTGCTTTCTTTCATGCTGCAGCTTACATAAAGGACGTACATCTATTTCTTCTGGAACACTGTGTGATTTCATAGATGAAAGGAGTTCCATTACAGGAATAACTTCCCCCGTCAGCATTGGAATGATGCTCTGGCCCTGTGCAATAAATAAGGTTTTATGTAATAAAAAGCACTTCAAGAACAGAACATGAAAAGATTGAACAATTTCTGAAGAGAGATGAATTCCAGGGAACTAATCAAAGACCGATTTTTCAATGTAACTAACAGAAAAATATGAACATAAACTAAGAATACAATTTTGAAACTGAATTAAGAAGCATTTATGCCAGACTGTTAAAGCTAAATTGTCTGAAACAAGGCAAATCTAACATTAATTACATTATTAATTTCTGGTTTTGCCTAGTAACATTCACAAGAACTGCTCACCCAGTCAGATACAGCTTAAGGTATCTGTCACTTCTTTTGCCTGACAGATAAATGTCCTAGTAAAACATTCCATTTTGACAGGAGGTTGGTACTTGAGTCATTCTCATGATATGAACACCTTTAAAAATACCCATAATTCATCTAGATGTTTTTTGCACAATGAGGAAATACTACTGCAGTTGCTGGGAGGAAGGGTGGGGAAAGAGAGATTTTTCCATTTGCTCAGTTTTCATGCACATTGCTTTCTTGTACAAAATGACCATGAGAATGAGACGAAGCAACAGTATCAATGTCTATGGGGGATACGATCCATATTCTTGGATTAAGCTTCTCAATCTTCTCCCTGGAAATCAGTGAGGATGTAAGTGCCTGTCTTACACCCAGTGTTTTGATGCATTCTTACCTGATCTTCCATTCTCTCTGTGCCTTCCATAGCAGCTTTCTGGAAAAATTCTTGTCTTTCCTAAAGAAGAAATTGATTTTCACAATCTTTTAAAATAACAGTTCTAGAACTTGTGTGCACGTTTTTACAAACAGACCACAGCTCATATTTATAAAGAGCCATCAGATCCACAACCCAATTAAGCTGCAGTATTTCCAGTAAAACACATTCATGGCTATTCCTAAATACAGTAACAGGAGAGCCCAAGTAGGGGGGATCTCCAGCAAGGTACCTACAGGTGCAACAGTGCTAAAAAGACTAGGCTGAGGTGCAAGCCAAGCTATTACCTCCTCTGTACATGAAGAGGGTGCTTTCCCCAATCACTTGGGGGATCTGAAGAGGAGAATCTCATGCCAAAACATGGATGGAAGGTACAAAATCCTCAGGGGTCCTTGATGTAGGTTATCTTTACCCCACCTCCCACGAATTTGCACCAGGAGGCCTTTTCTTCTATTAAAGCCAGTGGTTCTATTCATTTCAACAGAAATTTGAAAAAAAAACCGAAAAAGAAATATGAACTAGGGTATGAAAATGAATAATGAGCAAGAGGAAAGGGAGGGGAATTGGTACCAGAGCCAGAGAGAAGAGTGTGAACAAGAAACCAGAGTAACACACATACAGGGTGCACATTAGGGCAGGAGGCATCCATCAATTTTGTGAATGACCTTGACTTCCTCCTTTCCTACAGCAGCTAATCTGTGCTGGTGCCCAGGTGGATTTTCAGAAAGCCAAATGTGCCTATGAGCTCTGAAATCTTGGGGACCTCTGACTATGTAGCGAACAGAGTGAATTATATTCAGATGTACCTGATCCACTCAGAATCTTTTCAGGCTTTTCTAGCCAAAGGAATTTTGAGGGGAAAAGTTGGTCACTAGCATTCCATATGCTTCCTTGAACTCTTTGTGGAAGACTGGAATACAAATCTGATCCCCTTGAATTAGTGAGACTTCTATAAACTATTGTTTAGATCAATTATTCCAAAGGAAATACAAATTATTTCAGGGTTTAGAATTTCAAAGTCCTTGATGAGTTAGGAGGATGTCCTGCTAAAAATTTAATCAGAATTTCGGCCATTTCAAACTATTTGAATCATGAAATACATCTATTTACCAGGCTGTGAAACAAACAAAATGAAAAAGAGGCAAACATAGTTACAGAAACACAGCATATTGTGTTTAAGGCAGTGAGAGTCAGCAAAGAAGAAATGTACAAAGGTCCCACCATCTTAAGCATTCACCCTGCTGCAACAATAGCGAGATCCAAATAATAAGGATTTTTGGTTACATGATACACGGTGCTGCAGGCCAAAGTTTACAGTTTCACATGAGTTTCTAGTTTTGTAAGAAAGTATATACAGTATATGAACTGTCATGTAAAACTAACTGGAGAGAAGCAAGGCAGACACATCTTTAGAGGTGCCTTCAAAAGAAATGTAATGTTTGATCACAAAATGTAATGTTTGATTACAAAAAAGGTTGTACCAGGAAACAAGGGTTTAGAATCAAGCATATGAACAGCAGTGACAGCACATCACCAGAAAAACACAACACAAACATTCTTATTGAAAGAAGTTAACATGGGCCTAAGGTTTAGAATTAAGATTTCACCAACACATCAGTTTCTTGATGGTGAACTGTTATTATTTAATGAAGCCCTAGTATCACTGAGGCAGAAACACTACAAGCAATCCCCATTTGAATCTGTGCTTTTGCTCTTTCATGTGTGCAACACTTCAGCTTCTATTCATGCAGCAATGCACATACCCATTTTAACAACTCCTAACCTAAATATTTACTTGTCTGAGTCTGTCTAAACATTGCTGTATACTTGTAAGTCATCAGGACTTAGCACATATTGTAAAGCATTCATTAAGCATTGCTATACTCTTACATGCATTAACAGAAATTTAAAAAATTGAACAGGTTCTAATTTTTGCTTTGCACCATCAAAAGTGGGACATATTATGGAGTTTAAAAGCCCAATGAGAATGCAAAAGAGTGAGTGGTATCAATGAGACCTGCTCCCTCATTTTCCTTTCTATTTTATACTTCAGTAGGCAGTAGCCCACTATAAATGTTTGCACTGGTTTCTTTTATTGCAAAGGATACTAATTTACACTATTTTTCAGCTGTTTTGTACTTCAAAGATTCTTCGCTGAGATCAAAGCCAAATATGAAGTCCTATAATTTTTGCATTAGAAACCTTATACACCATGTATGTCTTTTGAAGGCAATGATCACATTTTATGGACAACTAGTATCCAAATGTTAGTAGAAAGAACACATACTGCAAACAAGAACTCTGTTGTTTTATCACTCAACATGCTAATATGATATTTCACTGAATCTGTCAGATCAAACTGCAAGTTAAAAGGATAAAGTATAGAAATCGGCCATATAGAAAGTATGGCCAATTCTTCTAAGACAACTAAAAGGACAAATGGTACAAATTTGGAAGGTTTGAAGTAATTTTGTCTATTTAGATCCTGTTAAGAAATGTGTTATCAATTTGTGACAACAAATGCCACTACCTACAGGGGCAAATGGACTTTGAAATATACCAGGACCAGACTTGGAGAATTCATTGGATTGTTATAGCAGGATCAGGCCTTCTTCCTGTATGCCTTTCCTGCATCACACAGGTGCTTATCTTAACCACCTTCCTTGCAAGGGTTGTTCTGTACACAGGTGATAGGCTTTCTTCAAACTAATGGTTAGGAATATTACCTGGAATAATTAATATTTTAAGGTAATGAGTTTGATGGCATCTGGACTCCCAAGAACAGGTGTACTATGAGTAAGAGCTTCAAACTACTTTGGATGCCTGTTGGAAAGTATGATGTGCAATACAAGGAAAGACAGATTGTGACACAAATTGTATTTAACAGGTTTAGAAGTGGTTATCATAAATAGGCAGCCTACCTTATGCATCCATATCCTTCCTTTTCTTATAATATGTGTCAGCCTATCAACACATACTCTGTGAAGGGGAAGGTAGAAACTGAGTTCACTCTGTGGAAGTATTATTGATAGTCCATATGTACTTCTGTCCCCATTCCAATTTCCATCAAAAATTAAGGAGACAATGATGACACCTTTCTCAGCCAAAACGAAAAATTTCACGTCTATTGCTCCACTCTCTGCATTACGAAGTATTTCTCCATTCAGGGTATGGTTTGCAAGAAATGTTATTTCTCCATCACTGAGAAAGTGCTGTTCTGTTTTTGGGGCCCAAATATGTCTGACCCTGGGTCCAAGAATATTATCCCAGTATGCAAAAGTAGCAGCCAGTAATGGTGACTCTCCACTCAGTGCAATCTCTGTCTTGGCAACAGCAGGAGAAGGAGGAGGGCACAGTGCAGACATGGCGACCACAGCTGTCACATCATGATACTCTAAAACCTGTAAAATGAATTTGAAGAATAGAAGAAGGAGCAGAGCAGATAATTTATATATATATATATCCCAACATTATAAAGTTGGAGGTGCACTTTTGAGCAAAAGTAAAACGAATCATAGATTCCCTTACACCAGTTATCTTCAAACTTGAGATACCCACCGAACCCTTCTCAGTGTGAAAAATCCGTGTGGAACCCATTAATACATTTCATGTAAAACATTTTATCTGAACAAAATGTTGCAATAATACATTTCATACAATGTAACAGAATTTGTTTATAAATACATTAATGAACCCATTTATTACGCAGTAACTGAATAATACTAAATTAACTGAATATACTAAATTTGATTATAACTTCACTAATAAATAATATAAAAATTATACTTCATTTTAATGTTCTGGGTATGCTTGTTTTTTGCCACCAACCCCTCACCACAAATTGGTGTTATTGATGAAAGTTTGGGGTTCTGCATCTATTTTATTTCTGTATTAAACCAGTGTGATCATTATTCCTTGCAATCCAAATCCTAACCCTAAAAAAATTATTTTGCTTTTAAAGAGATGTGTGTAAAAGCTCTGAAATGACAAACCTACCTTGTCACAGACTTCTCTCTTTTAAGTGAAACGAATGAATGAATAGCTTACAATTTCATGTTGTCATGGGCATGAACCCCTGGATGATTCTTGTGGAACCCTGGGTTTCCATGGAACACAGTTGGAATACTGTGGCCTTAGACTATATTATCACATATCCATGTCAAGAATATAACATTAACAATCCTACTTCTAGGTCAGTGTAGTTAATAGACTTTGTAATCAGAATGGCTTGATTCCAAGTAAGTATGCTTAGAATGGGATTGAGTATCTGTATACAGCAGTACCTCAGCTCACGAATGCCTCAGTTCATGACCAAATCAGCTCGCAAACAAGTATTTCATAAAAAATTTGACTCAGGTTGCGAACTCTGCATTGGGTGGCGACCACAATCATGGCCATCCCCCCCAAGCCCCGAGTGGGGAGATGGCCACAATCACAGTCACGCTTGTGCAGGGAAGACAGGCACGATCATGGTTGTGCTGGGGGGGGGGGGTGAGGAGATGGCCGAGATCACGCCTGTCTCCCCCCCCCAAGGGCTCCTGCTATCGTTCCCATCTTCCCTGTGAATAAAAAATGACCAATTTGGGTCACAACCAGTGTTGTGGAATGGACTGAGTTCATGAGCCAAGGTACCACTGTATATGTTGCTAATAGTTCAACAGAAAAGTTGCACTATATTAAGACTCCATTTCTTACATACAATTCAGCAAGCATTTTTAGAAGGTGACATAACACACCTTAGGAGACAATCCTATGTACACTTACTGACATATGCCATTGAATCATACAATTAAGCTTTTTAATTGAAGGCACAATCCTATGCGGAAGCCTGAAATCCTCCAAACTCAGAGCATCACATGTATCCAATGCAGATCAAGAAAAATATGGAAGCAAAGGTCTCCTCCATACTTTTCCTGCTATGCAAAACAGATTTCAGCTAAGTGCAACACTCCAGAAGGGAAGGAGAAGGCACTGCCAGGATTCACTAGAGGCTATCTAGCAACCAAAGGATTTGTTCAGATTTCCAGCAATCTTATTTCATCAGTTTGCAATATTTTACTGTACAATGTTTAGCTGTTTTAAATTATTTTAAATTTATCCATGTTTTAAGTCATGTTGTACTTGGAATCTTTAAGGAGTCTAATACATTTAATCAATAAAGTAACTGAATTCAGTGGAGGTAAAGGTAAAGGGGTCCCTGTGGATTTTACTCTGCTTAACCAGCAGCTAATAGGAGGTGGTGCTCATCTCTGTTTCTAAGGCCATGAGCCAGCAATGTTCAAAGACGATCCTACAGTCATGTGGCCAGCATGATGTCACGAAATAGTGTTACCTTCCCACCGAGGTGGTACTTATTTATCTATTTGCATTATATGTTTTCGAACTGCTAGGTTGGCTAGGAGCTAGGGGTGAATGACAGGAGCTCACTCTGTCTGGTGGAGGCTGGGCTCGAACCACTGGAGGGCCAACCATTTCTGGCTGACGGTTCCAGCATCATTAAGCTGCTGTGTCACCACTTCCCCCTCAGTGGAATTCAGTGGAACCTTTTAAAAATAAATATACAAGGAATTGTACTGTCTGTGATATAACTGGGGGAAAATATAAAGACAGACATTAAATTCACAGCTAGTTAAGCACTAAGAGAAAATTGGTGTAAGGTTTTTTTGGTGGTACATTATCCTGAAAAGTATAGAGAAAATAAACAATGCAAGATATTGGAAATGTAATAAAGTAGAATGGATTTTGTACCATATGTGACATGGTAGACTTGTGACATAATTGCTTTGTATGATAGTTGGATGCCTATGCAGTGGTGGCAAAATTAATGAATTATGTAAACAGAAGATCAATTGAGACATTTAATGATAAATGGAAATTCTATTATATCCAGTACAATATGATGTAAAAGGAAGCTTGTTAAAATATTGTCAATGATTTATAACTGATTTGAAGTGATTGGAAAATTTCTCGGTATAGAGAATTAGAATATTTCTTTCTGAGCTTCAATCAGAGTACTGATTGATAGAAAAACAGAAATTTTTAATCTCTCTGGAAATTTTCTCTATCTTTGGAAATTTGCTGGTTATGAATGCATTGGTTATAATTGTTTAAGATCGCTTGACAATACTATTTCATTTTTTCTTATATTCTTCTTCTTTCTGGACTTTATTTTAGGAAACCTATAAAAACTATTATTTCACCCAGTTCTGTTTGTGTTCAGCATGAAAGCAAAGAAACTCCACAAGGGCTTGTCTGTTGCAATCGAAAAAGAAGGGATGCAACTGTGAGGAAGTTTCGTAAGAAAATGACTCTTCCATTTATTCAACTTATTTCACAGTCCAACACTGATTTTAACTTATGCAACAAGCATCACATATCTGTACACAACTTCAGCATTTCAATCCTCAACCTGAAAGAAATACGCATTGATTTAAATTAAAATTACATCTAAGATTGCCTTGGATTGTAAGCAAACATTCAAAAATAGGAAGACAGCTTTCAGTCCTTTGACAGATAAAAATGATAATTATTCAGAATAAAGAATTCCTGTTGTGAGCTCCACTGACTTAATTAATAAAATTGATCGATTGGATGACATAATGGAACACCTAAATCTGAAAGAAAGCTATGAAGATGACAGTTTAAAGTTGCAGTAAATCAGTTCAGTGCTGTTTCAGAATTATCAGCCACATCTACTAAAGATATTTTAGTCATGCATCTTTAGATCACATGGTCAAATCACTGTAAAACATGTTGTAATGCACTGTATACTTTGAAAACTGGATTATCAAGATTGAAACTACCATGTTTATTTAGGACAAAGTTCTAGGTTTTAATCTTCAGCCTTTGCACACTTGCTTTTAAGAAGGGTCGAAACAATTAAGGCCTCTGAAGGAGATCTTTTATTTTTTAAAGGGAGTCTTCTCTTTTCTGCATTACTAAGAAGCTTTATATCAGGGTGGATTTAATTTAAATCACATCAATTTAAATCCTGGTTTAAATTACTAGTCAGTAGGACTAGATTTAAATCACGGTTTTCTACATAATTTGCATGCCTGCCTGCCTTACCCATAGGTAGAGGAACTTCAATAAAATATTTCCAAACAGGGTTTCTTTTTCAGTTGACATTATAGGTTTTCTCCTCCAGGGAAAGAATTATATGAGAAACCTCAAAACTATACACAAAAAGATCCAAAAACTTGTGGAGTATGCTGCTGAAAGAGTTTCATTTCATTTTACTGCTAGCCCCTCCCTCCTTACACTTAGCTTCTTGCACAGATCTATTCCACTCTCAACAAATCTTCTTCTATTCATTGAATTATTTGAAACTTTGCACTTTAGAGGTAAGAGATTGATTCTGTGTACATAGATTTGCCAAGGTACAATGGAACTGCGGTCTTTTTCTCATCTCCATATGTTTATAACATTTTTGCTGTGAAGAAGAGGCATATGTTCCCTGCAGATGCTAATTCACAGTTTTGAGAACTGTGAAACCAAGTGTCAGTGATAATGGCCACCACATGAAGACCTTTTTATTTCAATGGTATTTTAATTGTATCCTGCTTATTGGCATTTTAACAACAGGGTATGCCTTTGATTAAGTAAATAGTTCTGTTAACTGGGTGTGTTTTTTATATTATCGTTTTAAAGTTTTATTGCAATCTGATCTGTGTTTTTATGGTTTTACTCTTAGGTTTTATTGATGTAACCCGCCCCAGGGAGCCATATGGCTAAAAGGGCTGGTTAGACATTTAATAGATAAATAAGCCATACGTTTTAGATGGAAAATTGCCCAATAATCTGACAGAAACCTCAGGAAGATCATGATATTGTGAATGGATTAATGGGATTCAGTTACCAAAAAATGTACACATTGCACGAATATACAGCCTCCCGCTACATAATTAAAAACTAATCCTTATTTCATGATGGATGCTTTGGAATATAATGTATCTTAAACAGAAAACTATCTTTAGATAGATTTTTCCTGAAAGGTATTTTATTTAAAAAATTCAATTTAAATTTTAAAAATCAGATTTTTGTTAAAAACCATTAATTTTATCCACCCTGCTTTATATGCATCCTGAGTACATTCTTCCTACATGAATACAGTTAGCACCAGATATGGACCCTAATTACTGCTGACCTATAATTACTTATAGGGGAAATAGCTATATTTTTTTGACCCAACATTTTTAGGTGCAACAACAAAAATATTTCACACTTGGCCCTAGCAACCTAATCATGTTGCTGCAACCCCTTAAGACTCTGACGAGCTCTAGGTTTGCTACTTTTACATTACACCCTGATACATAATTCTCTCCCCAGCACCCATCTCCAGGTGTTTCCACAGATCCCTTGACTGCTAGAACAGAAGGGTTCCTAGCATAAACCCGCCAACTCTAAAATGTGGATTTGTTCAGAAGGGAGGGGACATGCTTGACAGAAGCAAGTACAGCCACGCAGCACCCCGCTCGGCAGGGGCCAACTTCCTCCAACGTGGCGCCCCTGGACTGCAATCCCTAATGGGTACACAGGTGAGAGCTGATGGGAGGTGTAGTCCATAACATCTGGAAGGCTCCACGAGAAGGGAAGCTGCTGCAGGCCGAAGAGGAGCCCTGCGAAACTCGAAAGCTTGCTCATAACTCTGTGCCTATACCCTTAAACCCAGGATCGATTCCACTGCTCTGCGTCGCACCCCATCCCATGGGAGCAGCGCAGCTACCTGCAAGCGTCTGGTGCATTTTACCGGCGTGCATCACTCCGTGCCTTGCGGCCCCGTGGAAGTGCAGAGCCCCGAGGGAGCCGCCAGGGCTTCACCGCGACCGCTCGGGGTAAACAGACCCAAGCTCCCGCAGGCGTTAACGGAGGCGCGCACGCGCTGCCACCTGGGGCCGCCTCCCCCCGCTATTCCTTCTCCCGCCCCCAGCCTCACCCGCCTTCCTCACCTGGCCGCGCAGCCACCGAGCACCGGCTACGATCAGGTGAAAGCCCTCCCGCTTTTCCAGCAGGCTACGGCATTGGAACACAGGTGACTTACTACTGCGCGTGCGCGTGGCCCAAAGTTCGGCGCTTCGCGTTCTTTTTTTGGGGGGGGAGGGAGGGGAAGCTGACGTAAAGCCAGTGAGAGGAAGAGAAAGAGAGAAAGAAAACTCGGCACTTCTCACTTCTGGTTTCTCCCTTGCAGTTCCGCTTCCCTCGTGTTCTCCGCGTGAGAGAGAGAGGCAGCAAAATAAGGACCTCCAGGGAGAGGCGTAGTAATACGAGATAGTTGCTTTGCATTGGTCATCTCTCGCTCTTCCATCAGGTCAAAAGAAACTAGGCAGGGGTGTTCCATTTCCCATGTCTCGTAGCCTCCCCCTCTCTTTTTCTTCCCTTCCCTTCGTTAAGCAGGGCGCCAGTGACTTTGACACAGCAGGGGGGTACGGCAGCAGTGTTCAATTTCTGAATTCCAGTTTGTCTTTGAAATAAGAAAACTTATAGATTGGCAAAGCAAATATTTGTTTACTTATAATGCTGTGATAACTTCCTGGTGGCTTGTAATAGGAAACACGAACGCATAAACATGGATTTCAAAACAACTCAGCAAAAGCATGAATGCCACTGGCCGGCCTTGCTGTCCCCGCATATGGAGGATTGCATCGGTCTCTGCACTAGCGAACCGGAAATCTCTCCAGAAAACCATGGAGGGTGTTCCCTTTTAAGTCTGACGCCCGTTTGGTGTTTTGACTTTAGCGAACGCGCAAAAGAACACGCCGGCGGCTTTTTTCTATCGGTTCCGGGAACAGAACTTACAAAAGGAGGGGAGAAAACCCTTTGGCTTGAGCAGCGTCTTAGAAGAAGTGTTGTAATTGTGAGAGGCTCAACGCGGCAGTCTGAGGCAGAAATTCCCACAAACAGGTCTAAGTGGAACTGAAACAACAATAAAAATACATTAGGGAACTATCCTCTGCTTGTTGGCTGCGGTGTGTTGGGAGCTTGTAGGACGTTTTTCTGTTTAAGCTAAGTGGGCTGGGGGGGGGGGGTTCAGTCAGACTGGCCACTCACCAATTACCAAAGCCAAGAACACAGATCAGCACTTCCTAATTTCTCCGTATCCATGCCAATTATAGAAAACAGTTGCTGTAATACCAACAGAAATGCAATAAACTTTACCATAGATAGGAAGGCAGAAGCTGAATGACCAGCAGGCTTTGCCTGGCCTGCCTTGCTGCTGTTGATGGGCTGTTTAAAAGCTCCTGCTTTCCTTTCTTGTGCTTCTATCTGTTTAAATACGTTTCCGACTGAACAGTTCTTCATAGAAAGGACTGCCTTGGATTAATTAGAATATTTTCATATAACCCAAATTCATCCGCCTGAGGAAGACTTTCTCATTCTGCCTTAGCATAGAGCCACCATTAAATTAAACTGGTTGATGTTGCATACAAGTGAAAACTGTGATGGCTGACCTGAGCTAATTTTGTTCTTCAGGTGTTTGTTTTAGGGCTTTTGGGCTGAGAGTCTGTGACTGGTCCAAAGTGACCCAGTGAGCTTCATGGCTGAGCAGAGACTAAATCACCTGAGTCCCAGCCCCTCACTCTACACCAGACTCACTCTGAGAAAGACAATACAATGCTGCTATGTTAATATCTCATCAAATTAGGCATTTTCACCTGAACCAGCCCTTTCTTGGTTGACCATTCAAGGTGCCCCTCCTGTGGAGAAAGCAAGTGGGGTAGTCAGTTGCTTTCTGAGCTTTTAAAAAGGGCTTCTCCGGTCAGGAAGGGAAGACGGATCAGGATGGGATCAGGATGGATAGGGACAGTTGTGCCCCTCTGATTCTTCCCATTAGGGCTGGGGGAGTCACTGTAAAGGAAATGGAAAATCCTGCAAGCTTAGCGTCAGGTACTATATTGTCTGACTGCAGAAAACAGTGGTCAGTTAAGCAGACAGATGCCAGCAACTGACTTCTTAGTGCATGTCTAGTAGTTCTCATACTAGTAAAGTATTATCACAGCTAAAAATGAAAGCTGTTTCCACAGAATAGTTTCTGTAATGTTAGTGAATTTTGTGAATTTGTGAATTTTTGCCTTTCACTTATTAAACAGAATTTATGACTTGAGGGGCACTCTTCAGGTCGAGACCTTAGTAAAGTTACAAAGAATTCAATCATACATTTTATATCAGAAGAAAAGGTTTAAAACAGCAAACACTTATAAATATGTGTACTGTTCAGTGGATATTTTTTACTGTGCATTTGTCTGCAACTCGAGCCTGGCCACACAGTGACACTTTTAGTCTAGATTGGATGAATGCCCCTTGCGATATTTTGGTAGATTTCCAGCCAGGGCAAATGAATTACTTATCATTGTTTTATAATAACCATCCTTCATTCATGGCTCCCATGGCAGAACCAGAGAAAAGGGGAAGTCTACCCCATATGTATATGGGGTTGGAGGATGATATGTGAAGACCCATCCCTTGCTGTACTTTCTGGCCATCCCAGGGCTGACAGCCGCCACAGGTTCAGGTTCTACATCCCGCCCCCCAAGCAGGATGACCCCAAACAGTCTGCTGTTGCTGCAACACAATTTTTTCAACTCGCTGCCAAACTTGGGCAGATGTTATTCAGTTAATGGGTAATCTTACAGATGAAAAAAGTGGCATGTACAAACAGGTGCAGGTGATTAGTTACAGAGGCAGCCTGCACCAAATTTGCTTACCCAGTACCCCTGCTGGGATCCTAATACCCCCAAGAGGGAAAAGCAAGTTTGGAACTGTTTAAGGTAGCTATTTTAGCCTTAGCACCCCAGGCTGCCACAAAGGAGAAGAGGCATGTCCTTGGGGTTACAGGTGAATCAATTGTATGCTTCCTTTCTGAGCAAGTGAAAGTAGAAATTGGTCCTTTGACTACTTAGCATTCCTTTCTTATGATGGGTTCCCTTGTAAATCTGTTAGCTGGGGATTTGTTATGTAAATTGCAGGCCAACATACACCGTACTCCAGATGGACTGTGGGTCAGTTTACATCTAGACTGTGCCATAGCTTATTTAGCTCTGCTCCAAAAAAAGGCAGAGTGAAAAAGCATGAAAAGATTCTTCTAAAACCCCTAGATGAACAGGGACCTCTGAGCAGAGGTCAGATTCCCCAGAAGCAGCTCACAACAGACTTTGGGGGAGCACTACAGGCACTCTACTACAACCTGGGTCTCCTGAAGCAGATGGTAACTACTTCTGAACTACGTCAAATCCAGGCCCTCTAAAACTCAAGTTCAAAAGAAAGGCATGATCGCACCTGAACAGGGCAATTGGGCAGCCCTTACATTATTTATTCTGCCTATATTGTTGAGCCTACTTTTTATTGACTGGAATTCTAAAACAAATGAGGTTATTAGGATTGTTTATAGCATTGGGAATTTCTGTCATATACTCAAACTTATAAGTATCATAATATTTTTGTTATGCTAGCTCATGAGGTTACTAAATTAACTAATCCTTTTGTTTGGTCTGTGCCCATCTTCTCAGTCCTAAATATTTATTTATTTATAGTTTTTATATACTGTCAAATCATTACAGAATCTTAAGATGGTTTACACAGAAGAAAATATATATATAAAAGATATATTAAAACCATTCTACAACAATGAAACCATTAACAACTCCTAACTTCCAGTACTTGCTGCAGCTAATTAAAATACCAGTATTAATTAAAAACTGGGAAGATAAAAGGCTAAAAGAGGTGCCAGGTGCACCTCTCTAGGAAGTGCTATCATGGAAAAGCTCCTCCTCCTCATAAGAGCCCTCCTCAGCTTTTTCAAGAATGGCTCTTGGCAGAGGATCTCTGCAGATGATCTTTCAGGCTTGCATGGAAGGAGATGGTCTCTTAGATAACTGGGCCTTAAACTGTTTAGGGATTTATATGTTATTGTTAATACCTTAAATTGGGGCTGGATTTCAATTGATGGCCAGTGTAGTTTATATAATTCTCGCCTACTGGTCCCTGTCAACAATCTGGCAGCTCTATTTTGGACCAATTGCAATATCTGGATCTTCTTCAAGGGCAGCCCCACATAGAGCGTCTTACAGTAGTCCAAGTGGGAAGTTACTTGTGCATGAGTTATTGTTGGTAGGGCCTGTCTGTCCAGATAAGGATGCAGCTGATGGACCAGCCTCAGATGAAGGAAAGCACTCCTTGCCGTAGATGATACCTGGAATTTCAGGGATAGCTTGGAATTAAGGAGTACTCCAAAGCAGATTGTCCTGTCCCATAGGAGGTATGCAACCTCATCTAACACAGGGATACCACTGGATGTAATTCCTCTCACACTGTTAGAAAGGGCAGCTACAGCTGTGGGTAAAGTAAAAGAGCAAAACCATTCACCCTTTTGGAATGATATCACCAAAAGTAGGATTCTCCAAGATTGGGAATGTGAAATAGCTGCCCAAACAAAATGTATCCCCCATCCCTCTGTTTGAACAAGCAGCTTTGCTCTGTAACTGTTTTACTGAGAAGTAATGAAAAGTGGGGAGGAGAAAGAATCTGGGACAGGAAAAAGGCAAGGAAAAAACTGGTATATTAGTTGCAGCCTCAAGGCACTTGTTGCAGTAAAGTCCGGTTAAAAACCTCTCTGGTGTTGGTCAGACAACCAACCAGATTGCAGACTCTGTGATGTTTCTATAGCCTTTTAATAACCGAATTGGCCCTACCGTGAAGCAAGGCCCTCTTTAGCCAGGCTGACTCACAGTTACATGTCCATTGTATTACAGCATTACCTTGCCAAATCACTACTCAGAGAAAATATTAGATATCATAAGGATGTGATAACTGGAGGGATATGATGTGATCAAAAAATTCAATTATGCAGAGTATCTCATTTCAAAAGTTTGCTGAGTGACAGGAAATGGAGAGAAACCAGACAGATACAAAATAAGCTGATACTTGCACAAGCTTTGGGCAATTTAATTTTGACAAGCTGAAATAATATTCAAGACAAAATTGTAAACAGGAACCATGCACAATTTACTAATGGCCAGAAATTGCTATAAAGAGAATCAGAAATTGTTCTAACA